TCCAGCGTCCTCTCCTCCGGCTCTCCAGCCGGCTCCGCGTCTGCTCTGCCGCCTCTCCAGCCGGCTCCTGCGTCTCCTTTGCCGACTCCAGCGTCCGTTCCTCTGGCTCACCAGCGGCTCCAGCGTCCGTTCCTCTGGCTCTCCAGCCGGCTCCTGCGTCTGTTTTGCCGGCTCTCCAGCCGGCTCCAGCGTCCGTTCCTCTGGCTCTCCAGCTGACTCCAGCGTCCGCTCCTCCTCCTCAGCACCACTTAACACCTTTGATAAGAGCATCACATGGATATCCGATAAGTATGTCCACAATATACTGGCTGTAAAGGCATAAAAAGTACAGCCATAGTTTGCTATCTGATATTGGGTTTTTTTCCTCTGGCTCTCCAGCCGGCTCCTGCGTCTGTTTTGCCGGCTCTCCAGCCGGCTCCTGCGTCTGCTTTGCCGGCTCTCCAGCCGGCTCCAGCGTCCTCTCCTCCGGCTCTCCAGCCGGCTCCAGCGTCTTCTCCTCCGGCTCTCCAGCCGGCTCCTGCGTCTACTTTGCCGGCTCTCCAGCCGGCTCCTGCGTCTTCTCCTCCGGCTCTCCAGCCGGCTCCTGCGTCTTCTCCTCTGGCTCTCCAGCTGGCTCCAGCGTCCGCTCCTCCGGCTCTCCAGCCGGCTCCTGCGTCTGCTTTCCCGGCTCTCCAGCCGGCTCCAGCGTCCTCTCCTCCAGCTCTCCAGCCGGCTCCAGCGTCTTCTCCTCCGGCTCTCCAGCCGGCTCCTGGGTCTGTTTTGCCGGGTCTCCAGCCGGCTCCTGCGTCTGCTTTGCCGGCTCTCCAGCCGGCTCCAGCGTCTTCTCCTCCGGCTCTCCAGCCGGCTCCAGCGTCCGCTCCTCCGGCTCTCCAGCCGGCTCCTGCGTCAAATTTGGCAGTTCTGGCCAGAACCTCTCAACCTCAGTGAAATCAGTGCACTGGCCATCAGAATCTCGGTCTCTCAAAATATATAAATAGATCCCGACAGACAGACTCAAGACTAAAGTATTGTTGGATACTCAAACGATGGAGAGTGTTCTTCCACAGAGTCAGGGAATTCTGTCGAGCTGTCACGTCCTTTGAACTTATCTTTTAATTGTGTTAAGAAATGATAGCACCACTTAACACCTTTGATAAGAGCATCACATGGATATCCTATAAGTATGTCCACAATATCCTGGCTGTAAAGGCATAAAAAGTACGGCCATAGTTTGCTTTCTGATATTGGGTTTTTTTCTTCTACTTTTTTAGGTTTTGCTTTCTTATCGTCGTCAGATTGTTTGTCTCCTCCTCCCATCGTGGAACATCGGAAAGCGGAATTCTCTAATATTTGTCTGAGTTGATTTGTCTTTCATCTCTAGATATGGGAATAACACTCTCAGTATGTCCCTCCATTTCAGTGGTACCCCGGTGCAATATTTGCTGGTTTTCTTGGCCAGATCCAATTTATTAGGGGGGATGACGAATGTTGGCTTTAAATCCTCATTATCAATATCAAGTTTGGGTTTCTCTGGTTCAGTGAGACCCAGTCCTGCTCCAATCCAATGCAAACCTCCGGATATCCAACTCATTTTGTCAAACGTTTTCTGTCTTGATTTCTTCACAATAATGTTCTTCGATGTGCCACAGATTCTATTTGCTGGTTTTCTTGGCCAGATCCAATTTAAAGCGTCTGCTTTGCCGGCTCCAGCGTCTTTTCCTCCAGCTCTCCAGCCGGCTCCAGCGTCTTCTCCTCCGGCTCTCCAGCCGGCTCCTGCGTCTGCTTTGCCGGCTCCAGCGTCCGCTCCTCCGGCTCTCCAGCGTCTTTTCCTCCAGCTCTCCAGCCGGCTCCTGCGTCTGCTTTGCCGGCTCTCCAGCCGGCTCCTGCGTCTGCTCCACCGGCTCCCCAGCCGGCTCCTGCGTCTGCTTTGCCGGCTCCAGCGTATGCTCCTCCGGCTCTCCAGCCGGCTCCAGCGTCTGCTTTGCCGGCTCTCCAGCGTCTTCTCCTCCGGCTCTCCAGCTGGCTCCTGCGTCTTCTCCTCCAGCTCTCCAGCCGGCTCCAGCGTCTGATTTGCCGGCTCTCCAGCCGGTTCCTGCGTCTGCTTTGCCGGCTTCAGCGTACACTCCTCCGGCTCTCCAAACGGCTCCTGCGTCTGCTTTGCCGGCTCTTTAAAGCCAACATTCGTCATACCACCTAATAAATTGGATCTGGCGACGAAAACCAGCAAATATTGCACCGGGGTACCGATGACATGGATTGAAATACTGACAGTGTCATTCCCATATCGAGAGATGAAGGATAAATCAACTCAGACAAATATTAGAGAATTCCGCTTTCCAATGTTCCATGATGTGAGAAGAAGACAAACAAGATCAGATGACGATGAGAAACCAAAACCTAAAAAAGTTGAAGAAAAAAAACCAATATCAGAGAGCAAACTATGCGTCTGCTTTGACGCAGGAGCCGGCTGGAGAGCCGGTAAAGCATACGCAGGAGCCGGCTGGAGAGCCGGCAAAGCAGACGCAGGAGCCGGCTGGAGAGCCAGTAAAGCAGACGCAGGAGCCGGCTGGAGAGCCGGAGGAGAAGACGCTGGAGCCGGCAAAGCAGACGCTGGAGCCGGCTGGAGAGCCGGCAAAGCAGACGCTGGAGCCGGCTGGAGAGCCAATGTTCCATGATGTTCTCACATCATGGAACATTGGAAAGCGGAATTCTTGAAAATATGTTTGGGTTGATTTTGATTTCATCTCTCGATAGAGGAACAACACTCTCAGTATGTCCATCCATGTCATCGGTACCCCAGGGCAATATTTGCTGGTTTTCTTCGCCAGATCCAATTTATTAGGGGGGATGACGAATGTTGGCTTTAAATCCTCATCATCGACATCAAGTTTGTGTAACGGGTACCCGGTTCTGGACCCGTTAGCAGCAGATGATGAAGCTGAAAAATAGAATATAAATGAGAACACAGAAGACGCAGTCTGTGTTCCTCCAACTTCTCTCAGCTTATTTATTGAACAAACCAGTTTATTCAACTTCCAATACAGCCCGATATATAATTCAGTCGTTCACTGGATATACAATCTATGTAGACATAGCTCACTATTGACATAACATCAACTTTCATGAAATCAGAAATAATCTCTTTCTATCATCTCTTCTCACATTTTCTTTCAGGTAACAGTTACCTTCCATTAACTGCACTTTCTATGCATCTTTAATCACACACAGTGACATATTTCAGGGACATGTATTTTAACAGTTATTGTCAGCTGGCTTATTTGAAATGTGAACTACTTAACTTAAATGAATGCATTAGGACATTGTTTTGAACACAAATAAACCACGGAGCTTATAACGAGATTAATATTAATAATACCATTAATATTAATAATACCACTTAACTCGGCATTATCCGCCGCAACAGTGCGCTAACTAACTGTTAGCCGTTGGCTATCCCAACCGTTACTCGCTCCAACACACAACAAAACTTAACTCTTTCACTAGCTTTTACATATTGACATACTTCTCTAACCATATTTCGAACTGTACCAAAACAATAAGAAAATACTTTAACATTAACTTGAGGCTTGTTCTCACCTGAAAAATAGAATATAAATGAGAACACGGAAGACGCAGTCTGTGTTCCTCCAACTTCTTTCAGCTTATGAGAAACGGCAGAGCAACAGGCAGCTCAGAGTCCCCATGCGCCACCCTACTGGTGAAACACCATAAATACATCCATCATCATTAACCCGTTAAAAAAACAAAACAAACCCCATAAACATTTCAAGAAGTGAATGCTCCTTTTCTTTCTCTATTGTGGGCACACACTAGTGGGCATCACATTTGGGTTACTCTGGATCAGTGAGACCCAGTCCTGCTCCAATCCACTGTAAACCTCCGGATATCCAACTCATTCTGTCAAACGTTTTCTGTCTTGATTTCTTCTCAAAAATGTTCTTCGATGTGCCACATCTCTGCTACTGACTTTTTCTGAGTTAACTTATTTCCCTTCTTTTACAGGTAAGAAAATACCTCCAACACAATCAAATCAAAATAAATTACAATTGTTCAAATCACATTCATTGATATAATATATAGAAATCAAAGTACATCACTTTAAATTCAAGTTCAATGAAAAGTCTTAGTTGACTCGATCCAGAAGAAAAGTAATGATTCAATAAATTATCAGTTCTGTTCAGTTCGCCCTGGCAGCGAATTACCACACGCAGGAGAGTCCCTCCTTGATTTGATGGAGAAGATGAATTGAAGGTCTGGGTCTGGCTCGCCATCCTGAATCCCGTCCGTGAATGTGCACGCCGCACAAGGCAGACAAATCCTGACTCCGACCGAGCTTCCAACCAAGCAAAAAAATCTGACCAAAACCAATGTAGCTTAGTTCTCAATAAAATTCCTGTCAGTTCCCGACCAGGTAATTATGTTTCATAACTATATTAATAACTTTGGCTGTTGATTAATTACTGCTCTTTTTCTCTGCTCTGTCCTCTCTCCTGTGCACCTGTGACGCTGGTCCCTTAAAGGGGCAGCGATAAAATTTTCTGTTTACAGACTTTTAATCAATTATTTATTCCTATTTATGACATATTTTAACATGGGTTACAGGTTACTTGTAAAGAACTATTTGGGTTGCTTGTACGAGGTTGGAAGGTTGTTTTCCACAGCTGTGTAAGGACCAGACCATCTTGCCCCTTGCTTTTCCTTTCCTTCCAAAGAAACACATAGTGGAATGTATAAGATCTACCTTTTTTAATCTGGGACTTTTCCCCTGCCACATTGACGTCACCGCAGAGGAATCAATGAATGGAGCCTGTCCAGTGTTCTGGCTGTTGTATTTCCTCACGATGACAGCCAGATCCTCACGATGACAGCCAGAAATGCATTAATAGACTCCAAATGTATTATAAGATAAAAGATTAAATACTGTACCAACCGTGATATTTCAAAAAAATATAATCATTGTACCTGACTCTCCAGTTCCATCTCAGGACCAATTTTATTCACATCACAGTAATACAACTTATATCCATTCACTTTGGACAGAAGTACAAACACGTTTAAGTCAGTGAAAAAAACATCATGCACATCTGATGATCAGGATGTGGTGAGGTGTAGTGGAAAATAAAACAAAATGTAAGGAATAGGTTCATTATCGTGACACCTGACACCATTTCATTTTACAAAACATTTTATATGTTATCCAACATTATGCAAATCATTTGATTTGCATAATGTTTGAATCATTTTCTACATATGAATTAATAAAGCTACCAGTTTGTTGTACTGAGACTGAAATTATTCCTATCATTAAAACAAGATGAAAGCATATCAGTACAAAGACAGACATTCTTTGTGAGACATACATTTATGATAATACAAAGTATGTGCATTGATATATATCACTTCCACCTCTTCTTCTTTTTGGCAATTAAGAGTTCGTCGCACTGCTGGTGTGAAGTCAGCTTTAATGAAACTCTTTAAAGTCGTTCTTATTACAGCTTCAGTTTCCCTGACACCAACACCACCGTCGAACTAAAACAACATAAACTTAGTGAGATGGTGTCAAGAATACAATATCGACATAAAAAATAACATAAAACATACTAACATACCTCGCTGGCTGACCCTTTCTTTTGAGGTAGAAATGAGGTAATTCAGTAAATTTTTAAACTTAAATCATGTTTCTCAATTTGCTTGCCAACGCGATGCTGTTATATCGCAGGCGTTTCTGGTAACCTGGTAACCAGACACTTCTACTTCTACGTCCTACCTTAATCCTTCAAAATAAGAGTCTTAAAAAATATAAATAATACAAAATAAAACCTGTAAATTAAAACTTTGGCAGTAAAAATATATTTTTTAGAATTTAAAATCAAATTTACATTTCTCTGCTAGAGATTTTCTCTGGGTCGCAGACTGAAGAGCAGTTAATGGCAGAGCAGAGGGAGATGGTGCTGGAGCAGGGGGAGATGGTGCTGGAGCAGGGGGAGGTGGTGCTGGAGCAAAGGGAGGTGGTGCTGGAGCAAAGGGAGGTGGTGCTGGAGCAAAGGGAGGTGGTGCTGGAGCAGAGGGAGATGGTGCTGGAGCAAAGGGAGGTGGTGCTGGAGCAAAGGGAGGTGGTGCTGGAGCAGAGGGAGATGGTGCTGGAGCAAAGGGAGGTGGTGCTGGAGCAAAGGGAGGTGGTGCTGGAGCAGGGAGGTGGTGCTGGAGCAAAGGGAGGTGGTGCTGGAGCAGGGGGAGGTGGTGCTGGAGCAAAGGGAGGTGGTGCTGGAGCAAAGGGAGGTGGTGCTGGAGCAAAGGGAGGTGGTGCTGGAGCAGTCTGTATAGGGTCCGAGAATGCCAGCATCCGACTTCCCACCTTGTTAGAATAATTATGTTTTGTTATCATTCTTACATTAGTAGCTATAATAGATTTAGTATTCACATCCCTGAGAAAAGCTCTCATACTTGTTAGACCTTGGAGCTGCAGCCACTTGTATCTTTGGGATACTCCTATCTGCCTCCCTCCACATTCCTTTTCTACTTTGTAATAAAAGAGAAAGCCCTAACAAAGGGTCTTCAGAGCGCTCAGTGAACGGCTGGAAGCAGTGGTTTGCTGGGTTCTCTCCTTTTGCAAAAGCTTTCATAAAATTCACTTGCGTTGTCTGTTTGTTCTTCTATTTAGATTCACAAATACCTATCACACCTTTTCTCTGCTGACTGCGTATTTTCTGCCTCCACACTCGGTCACCAGGTTTAAACATAGTACCGTTGTGTTGTGTTCTGCCCTTTGCTTTCTCCCGTTTGTGGAAACACTTTCACTGACAATGCTCCGAAGGCTTTCTTGGGCTTTCAGGTCCTCTGCCGACTCCTCCACCGTCAATCTCTCAACACAAATGTAATGTTTCAAGTGTCAGTTCAAATCTGTCATTTAGAGAGCATATAGTCATCATTTTTATGGCTTGCTAGAGTGAGATATTACAACATATTCTGAAAAATAACCCTTTGAATGTCTCTTGAAAGGGTTCATGTAATTTTCACATTTATTAAAAAAATTGTGAAAACCTTTTCAGAATATAGTCCTTTGTGAATGGTACGGTTTACAAAAATGTATGACCTCACTGAAATGTAATTTAAATGCAAACTCTTTGTGACTACGTAAGAAAACAAAAAACATTTTTAAGAAACTTAAGAGTTAATTTGAAACTATAATATTGGATTTAAATCCACAACAATGAAATGGAAATATTCATTTCCATTTCATTGTTATGAAACCCTACAATGTAATGTTCAGGGACTTCAGAGGAATAGCGTGCTTCGCTTCCGAACATGAGGAAATATGGGGAATACTGTGTGGTTTCTTGCTTTTTGGTGTGTATCCCAAACATCACAGCACCCAAATACTCGTCCCAGGTGTGTGGATGGCCATCCACAACCTTACTCAGAGCTCTGAGATACATGAAAGGTATAATATGTCATGCATAACACATGATATCATACAATTTGCCTTATTATGCAAGTAGTTTAGCAAATACACATGTTTTTTGTGATCTTTCTTTGAACATGCATGCATTGAAGATAATACTCACCTTTGAATGGTCCCATTCATTTTTTTCAACCAACCCATTGGTTTGGGGGTGGTATGGGGAACACAGACTTCGTTTGATATTGAGAAGTTTGCACACTTCTTGGTTTATCTGAAAATATATAAACAAATAGCTCTGAAAATAGCCTGTAAATTTAAACAACATATCGAAAAAAAGAGTGTAAAGGAGGACACTGATAGTGTTAAATTTTTCTAAGAAAACAAATACTTGCATAATTTACAAACTCTCTCTCTTGGTCAGTCAAAATCCTTTTGGGGGCTTCAAACTGATGCACAAACTTAATTATGCATTCTGTTACTTCAGGTGCTGATTTAGACTTTGGGGGATATGCTTGTGGCCACTTTGTAAAATAGTCAGTCATGACACAAATACACTTGTGTTCAGATTTTGTTTCTGCCATATTTCCAATAAGGTCCATCCCAATTAATTCAAAGGGATGGGAAACCTTAAATGAAAGACTTCATAGATTAATAAATAAAAAAAATAATAGACCACAGTGAAATGTTTAAACGCATTATTTTGTTAAGCTAAAATAGTAGCTTCTCAATATATCGTTAAATGTTTAGTATTATAAAAATACATTCCTTAATTTCATACATCAACTTGTTCAAAATGTAGGCCCTTTATGAGAACACAGGCAAAGAGGACAACCAACCACTGCTGCACACCACCATGTATTTTCACTGAAGCTGTTTCTTTATTATTTTTACCTTTATGGGAGTATACACTGATGGCTGTTTCAGTGCTTGAAAACTCGACTGGCAGGATGAGCACTCGGAGACGTATGAAGTTAATGAAAGATAAAAACAAACAAGAATTTAACACATGCAAAGTTGACATTATTGGACTATTATAGATTCATATTGGTAACATAAATAAGTCTTTCACATTTATTTGCATAAAATTTAAATCTTGTAGTTGGAAAACTGTCTGGTGACTGTCTTTTATTTCTGCCAGGCTTAAGTGAGAAAAGTTGGGAAAAGAGCGATTCTCTTCGCGTTTAAAATAACAAAACAGTGTCAGAAGACCTCTTTTATTTATTTAGTTTACAATTTTTTCAACAACTGCTGCCAATTAAACTGAATGTTAGAACCTCGACATAATCATATGAGTTGTTTTACCGAGAAATCGATCCGAAGCGACGTGAAAACGGTCAGATCCAGGTCCTCTCTGGCTGCAATGCGCGCTCCCAACACAGAGTGAACATTTTCACAAGGGAACCGAATTTCGCACAAGACCTGAATCTGTCTGATGAAGAGCGTGAGGAAGGCTGATGCATTGATGGTAAAACTGCATACCCAACAAGGACTTTGTACCGAACTTCACACCCACAGAGATGCAGCCGTCAGGACAAGTTTCATCATTTCTCATAAAATCACCAGAAAAAGTAATGTGTTTTCTGACGGAGAGTTTATGAAGGAGCGCTTTTTGGACTCTGTTGCCCTGATATGAAGGGCGCATTTGAGAACCTGTCACTCTCCCGACGCTCTGAAACAAGGCGTGTTGAGGCCATCGCTAGAAACCCGGAGCTTCGTGTGACTGCGCTCATGAACCAACTGAATGTCAAACTGCAGTGCAAGGGCCTTTTTGTGCACGAGATGTACAGTGGAGTGATGGCTTTCATGAGAAAGTTGCAGCTTCTCTCAAGCCAAGTGAAGGACAACATTCTGACCCACTTGCCAACACCAAAGGAAGCCACAATATCAGCCGATCACCTCCACAAGTACTCAAGCAAGTTAGAAGCACTGTGTGGAGAGTTTTCGAGGCGATTTCAAAGCTATTGAGCGTGAAACACACATGATTTCTTCTCCCTTCAACTGCAGTGTGGACAATGCACCAAGCGATGTTCAGATGGAGCTCATAGACCTGCAGGAGAAAAAGTCTCCTGTTTCTGACCTACTTCTGGCAGAGTAGAAGTAGGTCTCATTGCTGGACTTTTACTCCTCCCTCAAAGAGGAGAACTTTCCACACCTAAGGAGGCATGCTCAGAGGATTCTGGTCCTCTTTGGATCCACGTATGTATGTGAACAGACATTTTCAGTGATGAAGTTCAACAAATTCAAACAGAGATCATCACTGATGAGCCTCTCTCAGCTGTCCTTCGCATAGCCACCTTAGACATTCAGCCAGATTTCTATGCTCTTGTTCAAGCCCAGAACAGACTGGATTATTCACTCTAAAGAGATAAAATGAGGTGGAAAACATAGGACATTATTGTTTGTTGTATTTCAGTATTTCTGTAAACCTGTAGTTTGTTGTTTGTCCTTGTTTGTGGAACAAAGTTAAAGTGTGAACAAGTTAAAAATAAATTGCAGTGATTCAATGATTGTTTTTTGTTTTCTTGTTTCAATGTCACATAGCCTCATATAAATATTTAAGGATTAACAGTTTAAATAAAACCATCAAAAGCAATCTGCTTTTGTATGAAGTTAAGTGAGGTTAAATGAAATTATTATTATTTATCTTACCCCAGGCCTTGAGGGCCAGTCTCCTGCAACTTTTAAATTGTTTCTACTTCAACACACCTGAATAAAATAATGCGGTCATTAGCAGAACTCTGGAGAACCTGACTGCATGTAGGAGGTGATTCAGCTATTGGATTCAGCTGTGTTGGACCAGGGAGACATCTAAGAGTTGGAGGACACCTGCCTTCGAGGACCAGGATTGCCCCGGTATATCAAAAATGATATTGAGCAAAATTTAACTGAAATATTGTCGATGTGGCCCTCCAGTAGAGCTCGGGTTGCTCATGCGGCCCCCGGTAAAAGTTATTTGCCCCCCTCTGTGTTAGAGTGAATGTTTGTATGTTTTGTGTTACTAAACATTGTTTACTAGACTATCGTGATTAGTAACTGATTGATTGAGAAATTCAAGCTCTGAAAGGAATATTTGGCATAAAATGATTTGAAATCTCAGTTTTTCGAGACGGTGATTTGAATGCGGATGTAAATAAGTCTCCTGATTTTTCTGTTTCCAGCAAAGAAGAGCTGCTTGCTGACAGTGGCTCACTTGACAAAAATAGTAAATGCCATTTCTGACTTGCAGGAGAAATTTGGCTTGTAAAAACAAAACTTATGCTCATTCCGCATCTAAGGCGTGATTCAGCTATTGAATCACGTTACAAAGATATATTAATAAGAGCATTGGTTTGCATGTTACTCCCTGTGCTTGCGTGGGTTTCCTCCGGATACCCCGGTTTCCCCCACACTCTAAAAGATGTCGGTATCAGGTGAGTATGTCTCTCTGAACTGTCTTAGGTGTGAATGTGTGAGTGAATGCCGGTTTGGTTTGGAGTGAATGAATAGGGTTTTTGATGATAGTACATTTATGTTCATAGAGACGTCATGAAATTCAGATGCTTTGACTCACGCTTTCCGAGCAGTAGACTCCTTCTTAGTTTTTTGCTGCA